GAAACCACTAAGAATTGCTTCTTTACCCAACTGCTTCTGTTCTTTCCATTTTGAACCTGCAACTTGGATAATCTCTTCGTAAACAAATATATAACAAAAAAAAAAAAAACAAAAATGTGGAGCCAAACTGGGTTTCGATGGAACCCAACAGATTTGGGTTCGGTGGAACCCAGTTGCTGGGTTCCACCGAACCCAGCAGACACAGAGGAAGAAGAGGAAGAAAAAAGAGGAAGAAAGAAAAAGAAAAAAAAAGAAAGGAAGAAGATGATCGAAAGAGGGGAAGAAGATGGATAAGAAACGGAGATGGGTAAATTTGTAATTTTTTATTTTTTTATTAAGGTGAAATCGGTTTATGAGTTGGCAATGAGTTAAATGAGTTGGCGATAAGGTACCTTAAAATAAAATTCCAAATCAGCTTTTTTAAAATTGTTTTTGCCATCTCATCAAAAAAATTATAAAAAATATCACGTGTCGTAGTTAACGGTCTAAATTGACAAAAGGACTAACGGAGTGCATTTCTTAGAGTTGAGGGATAAAAAAAGTACAAAAAATTGTTGAGGGACCAAAAATGTGCAAATCACTAAAGTTGAGGGATCAAATTTAGCATTTAACCTAATAATAAAAAGGTAGCGAACCGCCCCTGGCCATAACCTAAAAAGTCCTAATTCAAAATTCCTCAGTGGAAGGCAACCCCTGCTGCTTATCTATTTTGGAACAGCTTGTAACTAGCCAGTACACAACCAGTGAACTCTCTATCTAAGGTGAATCCTTGTAAGTATGAAAGGGCCCAAGCATCTCCATCATTTCTATTTATCTATTATTATCATCAGGCTTAATTCATTGATTATTACATTTTTTTAAGGGTTTTGTATTCAGTTGTACCTTCCATCATACAAATTAAACGCGTTTATGCTGTGTAGGGCGCTTCTGTGTTCCAACATATAGAGTCAAATCTCATATATAGGAGTACCTCACTTTCATTTTTAGTTTTCATTCTCCGAATATTGTAAAGTGTTTTTATCTTTTAATTTATTTAATTGTATAAATTATTGTAATTGGTACACATTTTTATTTAACATATTATATAATATAATTATTAAAAAATTATTATTATTTTATCAAAAATTAAAATAAATAAATTTAAAAATATAATTATATATATAATATTAAAATTAACTAAATTAATTATATTTTTATTATATTTTAATAATTAAATTAAAATAAATATTAAAACGTAATAATTTTTCTTTTATAAATTGATGTGACACTTATTCATCCATT